TGGAATGTAATTGCAACTATGCGCTCACCAGAAAAGGAAGAAGAACTATCCACTATCGAAAACATCTTTTTAACTAAAGCTGGATGTTCAAGACAAGGAAAGCATTGCAGCCGCGATAGCTTCTGGAATTGAAAAATTCGGAAATATCGATGCTGTGGTAAACAATGCAGGTTTTGGCGTACTGGGTGCATTTGAGAAATCGACTTCAGAACAGATCATGCAGCAATTCAGTGTGAATGTATTTGGTGTAATGGATGTCATTAAAGCTATTCTCCCACATTTCAGAACAAGACAATCAGGCTTGATCATTAATATTACCTCACAAGGCGGAAGAGTAACTTTTCCAACTTGCAGCCTTTATCACGCTACTAAATTTGCTATAGAAGGATTCTCTGAATCACTGGCTTATGAGTTGCTTTCACAAAACATTTCAGTCAAAATTATTGAACCGGGATCAACAGAAAGTAATTTCTTTAGTGCAGTAAGTATGGCGGGCGATGAGCGCATCACTGCCTATGAAGAATTTGATAAAATTGCGCTTAATAATTGGAACAAAAACGATACTATGAGTTCTAAAACAGCAGAAATCGCCGAAGTCATCTACACAGCAGCTTCTGACAATAAAGATCAATTACGTTATATGGCCGGAACAGATACGCATTTATATTTTGGTGCAAGGCAAAATAAAAGTGATCAGGATTATGTGGATTATATGAGGAAATTATTTATTCCGGAAATATTAAACAAAGAATTTAAATGAGATAAAAACGGCTAAAAACATGATACTAATCACAGGCTGCGGAACTGGAATGGGGTTTGAAGCAAAATAAATAGTGTAAAGGGATAGATAGCAGGTAAATTTTCCAAATGAAAATGCATAGATTCAGGTAATGAAGAAAACTGAAACATTAGAAAGTTTTTACAGGGAGAAGTCTACCTCCTATGATCAATCTGCAAATAACGGTAAAACTCAATTTGCGATCATAACTAATGAAGAATGTTCAAATGGTGCCAAAATAAGCTATCGGCGACGTGATTTTTATAAAGTATCACTTTTTAAAGGTCGCGTTTTGCTCCATTATGGCGATAAGAGCCTTGAAGTAAATGGAACTGCTTTAGTTTTTTTCAATCCTGATGTACCTTACACTTTAGAGATGCTTGAAGAAAGCAACTTTGGCGGATATTTAATTTTTCGGGAATCTTATTATAATGATTTCTACAAAAATGGGATTCGCGAACTAACTTTATTCGCTAATGGTTCCAAACCGGTATTCATGCTGAATAAAACACAGGAGAAATCTGTTGACAGCATTTTTAAAAAAATGCAAGCAGACTTGTTGACAGACTATAAATATAAACATGATGTGATCAGAACTCATTTAAATGAGCTGATACACCTGGCGATGAAAATGTCCCCTTTAGCTAAAGTTTATCAGTTTGTTGATGCAAAAGCCAGAATTACCGCTATTTTCAGTGAACTGCTGGACAGGCAGTTTCCGATTGAATCTCCATCAGAAGAATTTGAAATGCGTTCAGCAGCAGCTTATGCAGATAAATTAGGAGTTCATGTTAACTACCTGAACCGGGCAGTGAAATCTGTTACAGGCAAAACTACTACAAATCACATTTCGGACAGGATCACGACCGAAGCAATTTCAATGCTGAAACACACGGAATGGAATATTGCACAAATCAGCTATAGTCTTGGTTTTGAAGATCCTTCTAATTTCAGTCATTTCTTCAAAAAGCATACACAACAAATCCCTTCCAACTTCAGACTGCTGAAATGACAAAAATGCTCACACTCTTAATGAAGCACGGAAACCACGGGCGGCATAATAAGATTCCGCTCCATTGTGATAAACAAACACTGTATCGTAACGACGGTCACAAAAAATAGCTCCACCCAATTTCCTGATATCGGCAGGTGTTTTTATCCAGCTCGATGTTTTGGTGTCAAATTTTCCCATTTGTTGTAAACCCCGGTATTCTTCTTCAGTTAAAAGTTCAACGCCCATATCGGCTGCCACATCAATCACATTATTTTCCGGTTTAAATTCTTTCCTTGATGTATGTGCTTCAAGATCATAACAAAGACTTCTGCGCCCTTTAGGACTTTCTGGTGAACAATCATAAAAAATGTACTCCCCTGACTTTTGATCATGACCAACAACAGCTGGTTCACCGCCGGTTTTTTCCATTGCAATCAAAGACCGGATTTTTTTAGGATTAGCTGCTAATTTCTCCTGTACCCCAGCCCATTCCAAATCTTTATGGCGGCCCGTATTCTTCTCAAAACGCACTTTCCATATTGCAAAGAACTCTTTTTGTTCCTCTGCTGAGCACTCTTCTTTGTAACTGTCCATATTAATACTGATTTATAAATGAATTTAAATTATTTTTTCAACGATATTCTGCAATCTGTTATGCGCCATATTAATTCCCTGAATAAAAGGTAGCTGTAAAACCTGATTCCTTTGTGCCAGAGATTCATAAATCACGCGCATACGCAATTGACTTGTATGGTCAGTTAGTTTTTCAAACTCTACAAATTCCAACTGGACGCCAAAAGGTGTGTTTTCCATTTCAAATGTCCGGGTGATTTTTTGATTTGGGATAAACTCATGAATAACTCCATTTGCCCGGAACACCACATTTCCGTGTGTATCACTAGTTTCAAATTGATAACTGCCATGCTTCTGGCTTTCCATTTTTAACACTTTGGTTCCCATCCATTGTGCAACAATTTCAGGCTCTGCATACGCTTTGAAAAGTAATTCAGGCGGAAGATCAAATTCTCTTACAATGGTTACTTCCTGTTTGCCTTCTTCGGCATTAACCTTTGTTTTTTGTTCCATAAGATGCTATTATTTTGTTTTAACACCTGTCCCATGTAATAATTATTAAACGTTAAAAAGTCTATAACTAGTGGACTTTGTTTATAACCTTCTAAAAATACTTTAAGTGTGAGTGTATTAGTTTCATTTTCTGAGTGATATTTATCCGTAACCACATATAGATATTTCAAATTGTCAATGACGATTTTTCTAAGTTTGTTTTTCATTCTATGCTGCTGTATCCGGCTTTATCTTCATCAATATTTTTCCAGGACTTCCACCCCTGCTGCCACAACCCAAGTTACATCCTTCGAGAACGTTTCCCAAATAAAGTATTCACAACGTCCTGTTACTTTCAATTCACTTCGTAAAAAAAACACGGATTAAAATTTCAATCCGTGTTTTTTTAAAGTATAATACTAAAGTTAAGCTACTTAAAACTAAT